ATATTATAATTAACAAATATAAAACATTTTCCGTGTTGATATACAGTTATATCAACACGAGTGGAAATTGGGAAAACGAGAAATTGTGTGGAAACACGACGCCCGAAGGGCGGAGTGTTTTCACACAATTTCGAGTTTTCCCAACTTCCACGAGTGTTGATATAACTATATATCAATACGGAAAAATGTTTTATATTTGTTTTATAATATAGCAATGTCAAAAGCCCGAAGAATAAGGAAAATTTCCGTGTTAACAAGCGGCGGAAAATTTCCCGTGTTGACATGGAGTTATCAACACGGCTCTTAGCCAATCAGCGTTCAGAATTTACAAATGCTATATTATAAATATATATATATATATATATATATATATATATATATATATATATATATATATATATATATATATATATATATATATATATATATATATATATATATATATATATATATATATATATTTTATTTGGACCATGAATAAAACACATAACGACGTTCTCGCCCATGAATTCAAAATGAGTTTCAAAATGAGAATGACTTTTAAATTTCGCGCACAAGCTATTTTTAATGCTGCTAATTTTGTATATTATTATATATAGGGGGGCCTACCTTTGACATATATCTCAAAAGTTTTCGAAATTACCATAGATGAAAGAACTGCTTGACTGTTGTGATGTGGACATGTTCGAAATTTTTTTGTAAATATTATGAGTAGAATGTTAGAATGCGTGACACAGTAGAATGTTGAAATATACTTTAATCTATGTTATAAACTGGAAAAGGTTTAATTATTATAAAGATTGACTACTTTAAAATATAACCCAACAGTCTTGTTGTTTAAGGCTGCACTCTCATGAACTTTGAGCTGGTTCAAGTTTTTGATGAGAGTTGATGAAAGTTTTTGTTTGCTTGATAGGAACATCCAGTCAACTCTCATTAACTCTCATGCCACTCTTGTTCCCAGTGTTTGAAAACTCATGTAAGTAGAGTTTGGTTGCTTCATCGACCCTCATGCACTCACAACAACTCTCATTGACTTTGAACTGGTTCAAATTTTAATGAGAGTTGATAAGAGTTTTCGCTATCGCGCGGTCATATCAAATCAACTCTCATCAACTCTCATGCAAACTCTCGCTTCTCAACTCTTATCAACTCTCATGCAAACTCTCGCTTCTCAACTCTCATCAACTCTCATGCAAACTCTCGCTTCTTAACTCTCATCAACTCTCATGCAAACTCTCGCTTCTCAACTCTCATGCAAACTCTCGCTTCTCAACTCTCATCAACTCTCATGCAAACTCTCGCTTCTCAACTCTCATCAACTCTCATGTAAACTCTCGTTTCCTCAACTCTCATCAACTCTCATGTAAACTCTCGCTTCTCAACTCTCATCAACTCTCATGCAAACTCTCGCTTCTCAACTCTCATCAACTCTCATATAAACTCTCGCTTCTCAACTCTCATCAACTCTCATGTAAACTCTCGCTTCTCAACTCTCATCAACTCTCATGCAAACTCTCGCTTCTCAACTCTCATCAACTCTCGTGCAAACTCTCGCTTCTCAACTCTCATCAACTCTCATGTAAACTCTCGCTTCTCAACTCTCATCAACTCTCATGCAAACTCTCGCTTCTCAACTCTCATCAAC